GGATTTGATAATGAAATAGACCTGGTGTATGAGAGAAGGAAGAACAATTGAGGATGATAGAATGGTTTTGGCCTAAACAATAGAAGAATAGAGTTGTCATTCACTGCACAGGGGAAAGATGTCAGGAAAAGCCAGTTTATAGGAACTGTCAGAAGGGTTCATTTTGAACATGACATGTTTATTAGAACTGCCAATGGAGATAATGTAGGCCTGCAGCTCAGGGGAAATGTCCTGGATGGAGATATAATTTGTGAGTCATCTGTGTTTTTTAGGCATAAAACATGTAGATTACTCTTGGACTGTGCAGACAGCAAAGATCAATCTAACTAAGTTCTGGGGTACCTCAAACACTAAACCTTTTATTTTAGGGTACATATTAGTTTATCTTAGAATACTAGTATTCTATTACCACAGTTGAGATATGCTAAACTAAAAGGACGTATCTTTACAAAAATCTTTCAGCAGAGCATGCAGAAGTTATGTCATTTTCTTTAGTCATAAAAGCATACTCCTAATTTTCCAGTGTGGGCAGAGTTACGTTAGTAAGGGTGCTATTGTACTAAGAAGACACTGGGAAAGTGTCTAACAGATAGTGAGATATTCTGCATGTGTTCTGAATTAGGGTGTTGCTGTACTTGAAGGTCTTTGAATCTGATTTTCAGTGGTACAGAGTCCATTCCTTCTACTCATAATATTATTGCAGATAAATTATGTGCAAAGTAGCCATTCAGAATAAAATGCTTTTACACTCCTGACACTTGGAGTGAAAGGATTTACACTTGGGCAAAGTGTGATTCAGAAATAAATACTTCCAGGGTTTCTAAAGCAGCAGCCTGAGAATGGTAGAATGCTGTTTAGAAAAGGTAGAAATGGGAAAAGAACAATGTTGTTTTACATAATGACTGTATTATGTAAGTATGACAGCCTAAGCACACAAAACCAAAATGGGGGATTAGTCAGATCAACAGTCTACCTGGAGCAGAGACTCTGATGGGAAGGTAAACACAGATTATTATACAACTTGTGTCCTGTGGTTGGTGAGCACTGTCTCTGGAGAGAGCTTGAGAAAGGTGATTGTGTATATATTTGGACTACTTGGTCATGCCCCACACTCTGCTTTGTGTTATTGTGCTTCCTGGATGATCACAGTTTTGGCAATGTGATTAGCCACTTCCCATGGCTACTGTTTTCATATCTGAAAGATCTAAAACTAACTTTTAGTAGTATCATTTATTGGAAGACTAATATTAGAAATTTGGGGAAATTCCATATTACTTAGTAGTAGTCATGTTTTTAACATCTACCTTGCCTTTGCAGTTTAGTTGCTCATTTATTTTTGGTTTCTACTTAATATTTTGTCCTAATTTTCTCGCATTTTGTCAAGTAGCTTTCCCTTCTTCTCCTTCTTCTCTTCCTCCTCCTCCTCTTTCACCACCACGCCATCTCCTGCTGCTCCTCCTCCTCCTTCTTTTCCCTCCCTCCCTCCTTTTTTCCCTCCCTACATCCTTTCCATCCTTTCCCTCTTTCCTCCCTCCCTTCCTTCCTTCCTTCCTTTTTTTTTTTTTTGGTTGGTCATGGAGCTTGAACTCTGGGCCTGGGTCCTGTCTCTCAGCTCTTCAGCTTAAAGCTAGTGCTCTACCACTTGAGCCACACCACCACTTCTGGTTTTCTGGTGGTTTATTGGAGATAAGAGTTTCATGGTCTTTCCTGCTTGGGCTGGCTTTGAACCACTATCATCAGATCTCAACCTCCTGAGTAACTAGAATTGCAGGTGTGAGCCACTGGTACCCATCTCCTTCCTTCCTTTTTGATAGTACAGGGATCCAAGCACATATTTGCTAGGCAAGCACTCTGTCATTTGAGTCATTCTGCCAACTCCTTTTGTGTTCATATAATTTACTAGATAGAGTCTTGCTTTATGTCTAGGCGGACACTGGCTGCAATCCTATTTGTGTTTCCCTGCCTTGTAGTGTGATAGGTTTGCACTACTGCACCCTAACCATGGTACTTTCTAGGGTCATTGGGATGACAGATGTATGCTAAGCACAGCTATTGGTTGTAATAGAGTCTTACCAATTTTTTTTTCTTCCAGCTCTTGCACTGTAATCTCCAAATCTCTACCTCCTTGTACTTAGTATTACAGTCTTAGGCATTGCATCTGCATGATAGCTTCCTTCTTGTATGAAATGGAGAACTATTGGAAAAATTCATATCAAAATGCCACTGACAATGATGGAGCTCTAGGTCCTGTCACTTATTTTCCCTAAAAACTCTGAAATAGAAATTGAAAATAAGAATGTTGACATAGCCTTTTTACTAATGGATGAAATTGAGTCATTTTAGCCCTTTCCGTTTTAGCCATGACCCATGTAGAAAGTACATTGGCACTTTTGACATGAAGAGTGGGACATTGATGTTGGATGATGAGTATGTATCAGAATCTGTATCTTTTCTATGATCTTTCCAAGTTCTCATCTTTATCCTTCCATGATTATTGAAATATTTCCTTTGGGTTTTATAAAAGAATAATGCCTACAAGACAAGCTTTCAGAGTGTCTGTATTAAGCAGCCTTTCTGAGAAAACCATTTTATGCCATCTTTTCCTCTCTCCCAAACCTCCACATGTCTCCCTCCTCCTCCTCACTGTCCATTAACTTGTGCTTCTCTGCAAAAATAAGAGTCCTGAGGAATTCTCATCACCACCTCACCAAATTTTCCAGTCATTTACCTTTGAATCCTGGTAGTATTAATGAGCTGTGTTAGTAACTGAAGCCAATCCTCTACTTCTCAATAGTTTTAGGTTGTTTGAGCTGCTTTGGTAATTATTCCCTATCTTCCAGCATTTACCCGTTTCTACAAGCTCATGGTATTCATATTCCAACATGCTCTAATATCCACATTTAACAGTTCCCTTCCTCATTTTTCCTCTCTTCTTAGTAGAGATAATTTTCAAAATATCAAATACCAGTTTTCACTCCCTCACCTGTATTGTTCACTTAGTACTCTGGTATCCACTATAATAGTGCTTGTTGAGATCCCATAGCATTGCCATCTTGCCAAATTGATTGGTTTACTCAGTTTTTATTTTATTTCAACTTTCATCCTCTTAGGACTCAGCTGATACACTGTCTTTATGGTGATCCTTCTTCACCTGGCTGTTGGTGAAGTCCTTGTTTCCTTTTCTCTGTCTGTCTCTGTCTCTCTCTGATTCTCTTTTTCAAGATTTTCTGGTACTGTTTTCTTTTATTTCAATGAAAAGTAGAATTGATCAGGTATAAATCTTACCCCTTTACTCTATAGACACTCACTTTCAGGGCTGTGTCACTCTTATGTGGCCGTTAAATACTTTCTGTCTGGTGATGTTTCCCAAATGATGTCCTCTAAAGGTTCCATCTTTCTACTGGTATTTTTGGCAGGCATCTTCTACCTATAACTCCTTACTGTGGCTGTTAGAACCCAGTGACCTGGCTGGCTCCCACTGTGGTACTGCGGTCTATTTCATTACTTCATTACTCCCATCTCCTCCTCTTTGCCCCTTGAGCTTCCAAAATACTCTCAGCCTCTTTCCTGTTTAAGAGGCTTTGCATTTGCCATTCTCTTCAGCCAGAATGTTTTTTATCCAGGTCTTTGCATGGCTTGTGACCTTGTTCAGTGTCAAATGTATTTCTTCAGAAGCCTTCTCCATCTACACTGTTTAAAAACAGTATATATATATATTTTTACCATTTCATTTTCCTTTCTTAATACTTATCACTACATCATACCTTATCTTGTTTCCTCCATGGGTATATGAGCCTACTGGGCATGCAGTTCATCTGGTTTTTCCTAGTATCCCTAGGAAATAGATCATCCACTGACCCTGCCTCCCCCCATACTCAATGGTGATTGACTAACTAGTTTGTATTGAATGAGTGAAAAAAATACGTGGAACAAGTTAGGCTGCACGTTGTTCTTTGTATAAACCATCATTACATCCTTTTCTTTTTTAATTTAAATTTTGTTGTAAAGGTGACATATAGAGGAGTGACAGTTACATAGGCACATGAGTACAGTTACATGAGTACATTTCTTTTTTAATATCTTTTGATTGTAAAGATACTGTACAGAGGGGTTACAGTTACATGAGCAAGGTAATGAGTCCATTTCCTATCAAGCATTGTTACCCCCTCCTTTATATTTCCCCTACTATCCTTTTCCTCCCCAGCTCCTCCCTCCCCTTTTCCACCCCCCCTTCCAAAGTTGTAAAGTTCATTTTCAACACAGTGTCTTGTACATCTCATTGTTACAGTGGGTAATCCTGTATCCTTATTTCAGCATTTCGTTATTTCCCTTCCCATCCCCAAGTTAGAAAAATGTATATACAGGACTCTAGAATCCAATACAATGAAAACAAGGATTATACCATGGGGAAAGAACATACAAAAGAAACAAAAAAATCACATGGTACATTATAAGTACATTAAGAAGGACAGCAATAAAGATAAAACCTCTTGTGTCCTTATCTTGGGGTTCATTTCACTCAGTATCATTACATCCTTTTCAAAGCTACAGATAACATTGATTCCCATTAAATAATTCACTAGGGACTGTTTGGTACTGGGGTTTTGGATAGGCAGATGCCCTACCAGTTGAGCCATACCTTTAGGTCTCTTTGCTTTCATTAATTTTCAAGCAAGGTATCACATTTATGCCTGGGGCTGGGCTCAATTTAGATCCCCCTACAGATGGCCGCTCGTGTACCTGGGACTACAGGTATATACCATCACGTTCAGTTTATTTGCTAAGATGAGGACTTTGAATGTTTTTTACTCAAGCTGGCCTCAAATATGATTTGATAGATCTCTAACTCCACGATAGTAGGAATTGCAAGCATGTGTCATTGCAGTGAACTGCCAGTTAGGGACGGTTGTGTGAAGGGACTTTCCAAGAGTGATACTGGTGATGTCTTCCTTGTCCCCTCTATGGAAATAAATTCGGTTTTCTTGGCTCTTTCCATGCAGCTGAAGAATAAGTTTATGAAAAAACTGCCACGTGATGCAGAAGCTTCCAATGTGCTTGTTGGGGAAGTGGACTTCTTGGATACACCTTTCATTGCCTTTGTTCGGCTGCAGCAGGCTGTCATGTTGGGGGCCATGACAGAGGTCCCTGTACCCACCAGGTAAGCTGCTCTCCTACGTGGGATGGTCCAGGGTGTTTCTAGGGAAGCGTTCTTCTACTCATCTGGAGATTGAAGACATGTGCAGTGCCTTAGAGAGCCTGGATTTGAAATAACTGCTAAGTATGACTTTGAAACTTTAAATTATTTGGTACTTTAGATAATAATAATAATAATTGCAGTTACAACAACAATCTACCTGCAATATAGTAGTCTATATTTATAAAAATGTGTGTGTGTGTGTGTGTGTGTGTGTGCTTGTCCTGGAGCTTGAACTCAGAGCCTGGGCCTCATTCCTAAGCATTTTTGCTAAAGGCTAGCACTCTACCACTTAAGCCATAGCTTCAAGTCTTACTTTTTTGGTAGTTAATTGCAAATAAGAATCTTACATAGCTTAATATATTTTTTCCAAGTCTTTCCATTTCCTAACAAATGGGGCGATGTCATTCTTTCTGATGAAGTCATAGAGTTCCATTATTTTATATATATATATATATATATATAAAATATATATATATAAATAAAATAAATATATATATATATAATATATATATATATATATTTATATACATATATCTCACATTTTCTTGGTCCATTCAGGGGCATCTAGGTTGGTTCCATATCTTTACTATGGTGAATAATGCTGCAATAAACATAGTTGTGCTGGTAGCTTTGGTATGACTTTGTTTGTGATCATTTGGGTAAATGCCCAAAAGTGGGATTGCTAGGTTCTAGGGGAGCTCTATGTGGAGTCTTTTGAGGAACTGCCATACTGCTTTCCAAAGTAGTTGAACAAGTTTACACTCCCACCAACAATGCAGTAGGGTTTCCTTTTGGCTACATCCCTTCCAGCATCTGTGTTATTAGATTTTTTCGTTTACAGCCATTCTAACTGGAGTGAGGTAGAATCTCAATGTTATCTTGATTTGCATTTCTTTTATGGCTAGTGAAGATGAGAGAAACATAGGTACCATGGGTTTCCTTATTTGCAATAACTAGTACATGTCTAGGACAAGCAAAAAAGGTCAAAAACTATGTACATATGGCCATATAAGATGACGTTAAGCAAAGTGAACCCCAAGACAGAGACACAAGTGGTTTTTTTCTTTCTTGCTATTGTTTTTAACGTACTTATAATGCATGATGTGATTCTTTTGTTTCTTTTGTATGTTCTTCCCCCACGGTATAACCTCTGTTTTCACTGTATCTGATTGTGGTGTCCTGCATTTTGTACATACATTTTTATAATTTGGGGAGGGGAAGGGATATAACAAAAAGGCTTAAATACGGATACAGGTTGACTGATTGTAGCAATGAGATGTACAAGACACTGTGTTGAAAGTGAACTTTACAATTTCGGGGGGGGGGATGGAGCGAGGAGTTGAGGAAGTGGGGAGGGAAGAATAGTAGGAGAAAAGCGAATGAGGAAGTAGCGATGCTCGATAGGAAATGTACTCATAACGCATGTAACTGTAACCCCTTTGTACAGTATTCTTACAATAAAAAATATATATGGAAGAAAAAAGAGTCTTGCAGACTTCCCTGCTTGGGCTGTCTTCGGACCACGCTCCTTAAATCTCATCATTCTGAGAAGCTAGGATTACAGGTGTAAACCATCAGCATTTGGCTCTAATCCTTTAACATGCAAAAAAATGCATATAGACTTTACTTCTGAAGAAACTGAGTCTGAACAACTCATCCAAAGTGATACATTAGGTAAATGCTTTAATTTGTTTTATGCCTTATGAGGAAATTGGTAGTTGGCTTATATACACATAGATACACAGATACATAGACACATGTACACAAATATATTTGTAAAACTCTAAGCTATATGCTTAAATTTGTGTACTTTTCAGTTATGCCATGCTCCATGAATTTTTTTTTTAAAGGAAGTGTGCGACTGATGTTACAGCCCCATACTCCCGTTTATGGCCTCGTCATCTTGCATAATCACCATAGAAATCACCGTTTCATCTCCCTTGGAAATGGCACAGTAGTTAGGAAGCTTGATTCATGTAGTAAGATGAAAGGGAAGATCACTTCAACTTGTGCTGGGGAAGCGTTTAAGAAGTGTGTCCTTCAGGATAGCATCAGGAAATTGTCTTCTGGAAGGACTTTCAGAGTGTGGGTGCTTTCAGTGCTCACCCATGGGAAGGCACAGGTGACTTTTTCAGTTTCCATGGGGACCAGCAGACCAAGCTCGATCTCCTCAGTGAACTCTGAAGGTCTCAGCATGATTAACCAGCAGTGGCAAGAGGTTCATAACTTGCTTTTAGCTAAGTTAGGAAGAAAATTAGAACACTCCACAAGGCCCTACTTAATTCAGGCCATTCTCCCTGATCATACCACTAGTTTTTAACCTGTTGGTTTTTTTTTTAAGTTCTTAGGCATTTATTTAGTATAGGAATAATATGTAGGGGAGTGTTTGGACAAACAGCAAGGAGATGATCTAGCTTTTTCAATTAATGGGATTAGCATGATTTGTGTTTTCTGTAACTTATCTTTTTGCTTGAAAACATTCCAGCAGAGCCTTGCAGTTCTGTCTGAGCAATCACCTGGCAAACTGCTGACTAAGACAATGGCTGAAGTCCAGCTTGGTGCCCCGATGGCTTTATTTATATCTCTTTGAACTAACTTTACTGGGGCTGGGAAGGGGAAAAAAATGTCAAGAGGTGTTAAAGAAAATTGCATTTGCTTTCCAGTTTCGTTGCCATTTTTCTTTAGAAGCCTCAAATAAAAAATATTTAAAAGGCTTTTTAAAAACACACATGTGTTGAGTAGCAAAATATTGATACTTTTGTGTCTCTTATCATCTGCTCTTGTCTGGCTCATTCTTTATTTTTTGTGGTTTTTTTTTTTTGTTTTTCTTCAGTACTGGAGGATAATATTAGTTTAGAGGTGAAATACAGCATTGTTTGAATTAACAAGAGGAGCCAAGCAATTCAAAGGGGATGTAATTCAATAATACCATAAAACTATTTCAGGGCAATAATCTGAGCAGTATATCCTTGCATGTTAACATTGTTCCAGGAAACAGTTTGGTCCATTTGCTATCCTCAGGACCAGTGCTGGCTGTAATCACTGACTAGGGAGTCTCATTAGCTTTTTTGGTAGTGAGTAATGTGAAGCCATTTACAATGGCTGCATCCTGTGAAATTCAATAAAGGAAATCCCACAAGGGATGTGGTAGTTGTTGGGAAGGCTGCGGCTGTGTTCCATGATGTGCTTTAATGTGTATGCTGCTGAGTTATGTTACGAAGTCTGTTTTGTTGCATATCTTTTTATGGTCACTTTTCCCTTTGATGGGTGGAAGAACTTATGCTATTATTATTGTTACTATTCCTAATACATGCTAACACTACCCTGAACAGAGCTTAGCTCTCACCGCTCCTCTTTCTTGCATGGGGTTCATACTTTTCTCCATTTCTCTGTTCCTTGTTGGTCTGATTTAGCTCCTGCTGGCAGCTGTACCACTGTTAACTTGGTGGGTGGATGTCTGTGTTTGTGGGAGTTCTTATCTTTTCTGCAAAAGTGAACAAGCTCTGGCTTTGGAAGTTTGAGGACTTGGTAGCTTGTATTTATGATCTGTCTAGTGTCATGCAGGCAATTTGCTTGCTATCATCTTATGTCTATTCACAGGGTGGCCACTCCCTCAGGTTTATGAGATATATATGGGATAAGTATTCTTATTTACATTTTACAGTCAAGAGATGAATGGAACTCAAGGGAAGATTCACTATCGATGCCTGAAGCAGAGTAAAGATTTTTGACTCAGAGGCCAGATTTTAGGGAGAATTTAGGAAGATACCTTGAGTAGGTTAAAGGAAAAAAAATTCCATTATCCCATGAAGAGCATCCAACACTCTAGATCAGTTCATCCCTTTCAGATGCTGATTTGGACAGCTAAGGAAAATGCTTTATTCAGTAAGCAGTAGTTTTTTTTAAATAGCAGAATGTTTACATGTTTAGTGGTTCTAGATGATAATACATCTTTTGTGTTATAATGGCATACCTAAGAGAAAGAGTTGATGTTTAATTCTTAAAGCTATTACACTAAACATACTAGAGGAATTGAAACAGAAGTCCTACTCATTCAATTCTGTTCTGTCTACCAGCCTAATCGCTAGCTATTAGGTATGGTATATACTGTGGTTGGTCACGATGGATTTGTGGTCCTCAAGAATCTATGTGGAAGCTATAGCTTAGCCACATTTTCCAAAAGTACTAAGTGTGAGTGATGTGCAGGCTGAGTTTATTCTAGAAATAGCTATGATATATCAGGAAGGGAGGGGGTACAATCCTTTCTGAAAAGATTGAGTGGTTTAGGAAGGCTGGCTTTTTTCCCCCTGATATTATGCACGGTTTCTGCCTATAATTATTTTGTGAATGTGCAGATAGGCCATTGGTTCCGGACACAGATCATCTGGTACTTTTTTTTGTTATGGAGAATGGTAGAGGCATTTTCTGCAGATGGAATTAGTTATTTGAGAAAAGCTCACAGAAGTACAAAAGGGCCTTATAAAGACTCTTGCCATTACTCTGACTTATTTCTAGCGATGAGCGAGTAGAAAATCTCACTAATGTAAATTAATGTTATTTTTTCTGAGCTGTCAACATTGGCTGTCCCTTTCCAGCCACACAAATGCTTTGTTTACTCTAATTTCTTAATAAAGAGAAATAAAGCTTCTGGTTAAAAATAACATCAGTCTGTTGACAAGCTTAGGTCATGAAAGGAGTTTTCAATACATTGTAGAAGCTGAGCTTGACAAGATGTTCTTGCATCATAAATGTTGTAACAGCATTTGCTGCTTTTGAGGGCTAAAGGGGAGAGAACATTTCTGGCAGAACCTTTCTCAGAGTTCTCACCTGGTTTGAGTCAAGCAGACTGGATTAGCAGCTCCATAGAGGGCCCTATTCCTGCAGCTGCAACGTGTGACTCAAGGTGATGTTTGTTGCTGCTGTGGCTGTTCGGCTTCCCCGTGTCTGTCATTTAAAGAAAGTCATTTAATGAACTGTTCCTGACTGGCATATAGGAAAATTCTAACAATGTCACATGTTGTTGTGGTAGTGGTAGTGTAGTGGTGTGTGTGTGCATGTGTTCATGCGTAGGTGCATGTATGTGTGCAAGTGTGCGTGCGTGTGTGTGTGTGCATGCATGCCCGTACTCAGCGTGTAGGCACTGTCCTTAGCTCTTTCACTCTTTCATTCAAGGCTAGCATTCTCCCTCTTATGCTATAGCTCTGTCTTTGGCTTTTTGGTGGGCAATTGGAGATAAGTCTCATGGACTTTCCTGCCCAGGCTTGCCTTTGAACCCTGATCCTCAGATCTCAGATGCCTCCTAAGTACAGGCTAGGGTTACAGGTGTGAGACACTGGTGTTCAGCTCAAAATGTTTTGTTTCTGTTGGACATTTGATGGTATTTGATTAATAAAAAATATATTTTCAGTTTTAACCTAGATACTTTTGTTACCCAGATTACTGAACTCATAAATATCTCATACACTGGGTTTTCTGTGAAAGTGGATGTTATAGTCACCATTGATTTACTGCTTCCATTCATTGCTTGATGATATTTGGCAAACATGGGCCATCTTATGGACAATGCATGTTCTCATCTTGTAGGATTTATATTGGTGCCTCCATTGTTCTCTCAGCTCTTCAAATAGCTCTGTGCACCCCTTGCCAAAGATCCTGATTGAGGGGTATTAGTGACAAAGTGTTTTGCTCACTAAGATGATGAAATGTGGCTTTGTTGCCATATAGTGAACTGAGTAAGTAGTCAATGTATCAGCAACACATAATGTGTATTTGTAAATTATAATCATCATAGAGATACTAGCAAGAGGTAAGAAGAGGTAAGAGTGGTTCTGGAAAGGTTTTGGATATTATGTATTATTGAAAAGTTAATATTGAGATTGTTGAAATAACAAAAAATGGTAGGCAAAAGGAATCAGTTATTTCAAAATGTATGAAATAAAAGATCCAGGTGTTAACAATGTTTCTTGTAGCACTCCATCTGTCTATTTTACCTAAAATTATGCCCTTATTTTGCTTGATAGCTGGCTGTTTGTGAATAGACAAGGTAAATTGGAAAATGTCACCAATATGAGTCATTTTTTTCTTTTGGTAGCACTGTTTTTTGTTTTGTTTTGTTTTTTTTGTATGTTTTTGTTGGTCGTGGGGCCTTGAACTCTGGGCCTGGGTGAGGTCCCTGAGCTCTTTAGCTCAAGGCCAGCAATCTACCACTTGAGCCACAGCACCACTTCCAGTTTTCTGGGGGTTAATTGGACATAAGAGTCTCACGGATTTTCCTACCCAGGCTGCCTTTGAACCATGATCCTCAGATCTCAGCTTCCTGAGTAGCCAGGATTACAGGCATGAGCCACCAGCGCCCAGCAGCACTAGAGTTTTAATTGAAGGCTTTGTGAAGGAGGTGTGCTACTGCTCAAACCATACTGCCAACATTTTTTATTCTGCCTAATTTTGAGATATGTTCTCACTTTTTGCCTGAGCTAGCCTGGACTCTTATTTTCTTAATTATGCTTTCCATGTTCCTGGGATGTCAAGCTCACGCCACAGTGCCCAACTTAGTTTGTGATAGGGTCTTGCTAAAGTCTTTTGCCTGGGATGGCATTCAACTGCAATCCTCCCAACCTCTGCCTTCTTAGTAGCTAGGGTTATAGGTGTCAGCTACTAGCTTCTCCAATCTGAGTATTTCTTAGTGGCCTTATATTTTACTTTGAGGACTAAGTATCTTTTGACTGTTTTATACTAAAAATGATTATAATTCTCTGTATAACACTAAAGTAGAAGTATATAATGATACATGTGGTAGTGTGTTATTATATAGGAAGTGGTCAGCTTCATAGGAATTAAGTTATAGCATCAGTTGAACTTCATTCTTAGGAGAAATAAATGACTTCTTTCATATTTGAACACTTTCAAGCTTGCTGACCATTTTAGGTATTGCGTTCACTATGATTTCAAGTGAAAGCAAGTATTCCATTCCATTCCAGACCTGGTTTCTAAGCAAATAAGTACTGGATAGTTCTATAATTATTATGATGTAAAATCTGAATCTTCAAACTTTGATACTTTTTTTTTTTTGCATGGTCAGCTTTTTAGGGGGTTTCTATGTCCTTTGGATTGAATTTTATAACCAAAAATTTACTTATCCATCGAGGGGCATTTTGGAATAGAAAGTAATATAAGGAGCAAGCTGTCAATTTTTCTCTTAAGTCAAGTATAGAAGTAACTAAATAATAAAATAGGATTTAGAAAAGTAAAATGCTAAGCCATTCTTAATGCGCTCAAGTCTCGCCTAAGTGTTCTCTTCCCTGGAAGCCCTTTCCCAGTGTGACCTGGGGAAATAATTGCTGGTTAGTTTTCTTCGGATAAATCACAGGGGTTGTGTTATCAATTGGGCAGGTTGATAGCAGAATTGTGTGGTGAAAAGAACAGGATGTAAGAAGGTCTAGTTGCCTATCTGTGTGTGTGTGTGTGTGTGTGTGTGTGTGTGGTAAGAATTGAATTGAATCCAGGGGTTCATGCATGCTGAGCATATACTCCATCACTGAGCTTTATCCTAGGACTTGTTGTTCACTAAGCACAAATCATGGACTCATTTATCATTTTCTTCTAGTTCAGTTTCTTCATCCTTAAACATGCATAGCATGCATGGCCGTTTTGAAGAGAGTTTCATAGAAATTTAAACAAGATAATGAATGTGAAATGCTTTATGGGTTTTCAGAAACTGTGCAAGTACATGATGTCATCATATTATTCCCTTTATTATCTCTTTGGTAGGCAAGACATGATCCCTGTTATGGTTGGGATTTATCCATTGTCACCTTTTGTACATTTTTCTTAACCACTTACTTGGAAGACTATGTTTGCCCTTTTGCCCTTCCAATGTGACAAGTTAGGAATAAGCACATTCTTGCGATTTCAGGACCTATTCTGTAGTTGAATTATCAAGAAAAAAATATTTGGAAAGAAAATGTGGAATCTCACAAAAGGCTTTTAACAGGTTATAGATGATGCTTATTTTGAATTTCTCTCTTATTTCTCTTTCCTCTTATTGACTGTGAGCATTTGGCTCACTTGGAAAGATTTTGTTTTGCTAACTCCCAATCATGCTGAATAGAAACAGTTCTTAAAAGTATAGGGAGAGCCATTTGTCACTTCCCATAATGAGTAAAGGAAAGTCAGAGTCATCCAGCAGCATACTAGTAACTGGACATCATGAGTTTGTTCCAATGATTCCAAAAGCCAATGGAAATGGAGAAAGAAAAAGTTTAAAACAAGAAAATGGATTGACTCATAGAAGTACACGAAGCTTACTTTTCTTGCTCAGTGAAGACGCTTCAGGTTTCTATATGACATTCTTCTTTGTTTCCACATAAACTGAACAATTAATTGTATTTTGAAGTTGTGAAAAAGAGTATTTTTAAATGACACCCAATGGTTTCATGCATTAAGATGACAGACATTTGGTTTTCTGTACACTGAACATGATGAAATATGTGTTACAGTGTCTGCTTCTTTCCTTTTCCATTAGGTTCTTGTTCATTCTCTTAGGTCCCAAGGGGAAAGCCAAGTCCTACCATGAGATTGGCAGAGCCATTGCTACCTTGATGTCTGATGAGGTAGGGCTTTGGAAAAGATGGGGTGCTGTGAATGTCCTATTTGGGTTGATTTCATACTCTGAATTTGCAGTTATATTTTATTTAATTAAATTTCTATGATTAGCAGACTTCTTCATAAAATATACTCATTTGCATTAAATGAACTAATATTCCTTATACAGTACATATACAGTACAACAAGAACCTATAATACTACAAGAACCTACAGTACTACAAGAACCTCTAAATAAATAAATAAATAAATAAATAAATTTACAATTGCCTTTAATTAAAATGCAAAAAAAAGAACCTATAGTACACATATATTTTAAATTTTTTCTTTCTTTTTTTTTTTTGGTCAGAAACTAGAACTTGAATTCCGTCTTTCTCATTGGCAACTGAGCCATACTTCCAACCGCTAAAATTTTATTGTTAAATAGTCATACAGAGAGGTTACAATTCCATAAGTAGGGTTTTGAGTACATATATCTTGGTCCCTATCACTCCTTCCATTATTCTTCCCCATTATTTCTCTTGCATCCCTTCCCTCAATTTTTACATAATTTACATTGAATATAAGGACTGCTTTATATGACTATGGTATTTTTAAACCCTGTTTAATTTTTTTTAACTCTATGTTCAAATAAAATGTTTGTTTTTTTCCCTCAAGGCTAGGCTTCTACCACTTGAGCCACAGTTTCATTTCCCGCTTTTTGGTGGTTAGTTTGAGTTAAGAGTCTCACAGACTTTCCTGCCCTGCTGGCTTCAAAACCACAATCCTCAAATCTCAGCTCTTAAGTATAGCTAGGATTACAATCATGAGCCACCAGTGCTTGGCTCCTTAAAAACACTTCTGCAAACTTTACTTGACACACAATTCTACCTTTTTATGGGTTATTATTTAGTATTTCACACAGTATACAATTTGAAATGATCAGAGACATAATTAGGTAATGATGTGGGAAACAATTAATTATATATTTTAAAAAGTAGCTAGGAAAGACTTGCCAGTTACTAGTAGCTCACACCTATAATCTGAGTTCCTCAGGAGGAGGCTGAAGATCACAGGTTGAAGTCACTTTGGGCAGAAAAGTCCATGAGACTTCAATTCCAAATGAACCAGCACAAAGCTAGACTGGAGGGTTGCCTTAAATGATAAGAGCAAGCTGAACAAGCTGGCATTCTTGAGTTCAAACCTCATTATCAGCAAATACAAAATCCACAAAAATAGTAAAAATCTAGTAAGGAAGATTTCGAATGTTCCCAACACAAACAGGCGATCAATGATTGGGGTGATAATGTACACATTTACCTTGACCTGATCGCATCTTTTCAATTCTAAAAATTGATGTGATAAATATTCTTTAAAAATTTGAGCTCATTGATAGGAAATGGACCTTGCTCAGGTAACTGTAACCCCGCTGTACAGTATCTTTATAATAAAAAATATATTTAAAAATTTGAGCTCATTATATTACCTTTCTGTCTTCAAATGTATGTTAATTATGAGAATTCAAATATGGATGTAATATATTATTTTTTATTAATAAATTTTATATAATCATATATAATTACATGAAGAATGCAGTTTTGTGTATCAGTAGTACATACTTTCATGTTTTTAGAAGAAATTTTGTGGGAAGGCCCAGTATATATTTGCAGTGTGTTTTGTCACCTGGTACTGCACAGTTTCTAGTACTGGCTTTTGAATCATAGCCTTACCCTCATTGTAATAGTTTGAATGAATTTTAGGTCTGATAAAACTCTAGACTGCTCTTGTGGCAAAAGAAATACTTTTGGAATATAGGACTAATTTTTCTCTTTCTGAGTTTTTTCACTTTATTATTTCCCCAAATATTTTGCTTTGGCTTCATTGATTTGTCAGTTTCTCTAAATATTAAATGGAGAATGAGAGGTACCATTTATTTCCTTCATTGTGGGTTAATTTATTTACATTCTATAGGTTCTTAGTCCTGTTACTTTTTCATTTCTTCCTATTAATATGTATCAGGCTGTAAGTGACTTTAACCAATCTAGGGATTAACTTTTTTCTTACAGCAGAAAGTCAGACTTTAGGTAGTTTCTAGGATTGCTTTAATGTGGTTGCTTAATGATTAAGAGTTCAGCCCCTGCTTTTGTGCTCTTAAGATATCAAGTTTATTTTTTCCTACCAATAAAAACACTGAAAAACAAAATTTGCCTGTGTCACCACATCATCCCAACTACATTCAACATGGGAAAAAAGGGTGGAGTTATGCTATTTTAACAAGTGTTAAAACTCCCATGTGGCCTTTTCTTACATCTCATTGATTAGAAATGCCAGTTTCTATTTGCAGGATTGACAGGTAGCGTGAATCTTAGACTCTCCAGATGGTGTAGTAAGGCAGGGTCCACCACCGAGGATATTCTAAACCCTTTTTATTGTATTTTCCTCAGCCTTACAACCACAAGACCACTGTTATTTGATAACTAGCTCTTAAAAAATGATTTTCCAGAAGAAAGTTAGTAGAAAGCTTTTTATTTCTGACTGGTAGTACCAGGCCTTTAATCTGAGGACCTACTTTTGCTAGGCAGGTACTATTCCTATTGAACTACAACTCCACCCCAATTTTGTACTGGTTGTTTGCTGAGGTCAGGCATGTGCTCTAACTGTCTTTGATTTTGGGCTTCTAATTGTAGCTGGTATAGCAGGTGCACAGCGTAATGTCCAGATTCTCCCTCTGATATGGAATCTTATGGACTTTTTTTACCTTGCCTTGAGATGCAGTCCTCCTGATCTTAGCCTCCCATGTAGCTAGTTTAACAGGTACATGCCACCACACCCAGCTGTGGGTTGACAAAGGGATCTTGTGAACTTTACTGACCAGCTTGACTTTTTACTGAGATCCTCCTGTCTCAGCCTCCTGGGTAAGGATTATAGATGTGAACCACTGAGCCTGATAAAAGAAGGCTTGAAAAATAGGTAAGAGTGTTTGAAGGGGCCCCTCTTCTCTTAGCATGCGAGATATTAATGATGTGGGTGATATATGGAACTTTTAGGTCATCAACTCAGAAGAATGGAATGATTCATAAAAATGATTGTATACCTTTTGGAAACTCTTCCTCTAGAGATGTGTACAGAAGATGTGAATTTTTAGTTGCCTTTTATGTATTTGTTATTACATTGCTAAAAGATAGACCTTTGCTTTGTGTTCTGCCAATATCACTAGATTAAAAAAAAAACAGTTCACACGCTATTTATGTATGAGAACTACAGTGTTTGAGGCTTAATCTGGACTTAACACTCAGCATGAACTTTTCCTTCTTAAATCAACACTTGTTTGTCCAGTAATTGACTTCAGTGAATAGCCTTTCAATAGATATTTTCCCAAAGCATTTTCATCTGGCTCCTCGAAAACTGTGGTAGCTTACTAAAAGGAGCCTGAGAGACATGTAATTTTTACAGTTTTGGTGGGGGGAAAAGTCATTTTAAAAAACAGCAATTTCTTAAAGCCCCTGTCATTGTATTTTGAGATCATAATCTGAATACCTAAATACTTTTGAAAAACCTGAATATAAGCCATATTAAAAGATAGTTACAGGACTATCAGTGGGAGATAGATTGCACTATTTAGGATTAATGTGGTATGGGACATGTGGAAATTTCTCTTTTACTGTTCTCTAGGTGTTCCATGACATTGCTTATAAAGCAAAAGACAGGCATGACCTGATTGCTGGCATTGATGAGTTCCTAGATGAAGTCATTGTCCTTCCACCTGGGGAATGGGACCCAACGATTAGGATAGAACCTCCGAAGAGTCTTCCATCATCTGATAAAAGGTAAAGTACTAGGCAGTTGGGAGTTTTCAGGTACTAGGATACTCCTGAAAAGGAGGTTGTATTTGGAAAAGGAAGTGGAGTCAGGCATCACCTTGATATTTTCAGGTTTCTAGGGCGTATTGCCTCAAATGAATCACTGATATGCTTCGATTTCACATTCCCTGATACTGTAGGATTTGTGTTGTAGAACACATTGTACATCTTGATGTTCCAAAGTGAGGACAAATGAGAGGATTCAGATTGTGTTGTTGGAGTGTGTTGCTGACATTCTTTGGGTATATTTTGGGGACTCTCTGTAGGTATCCAATAAAAGACCAGTTTACTTTAAATTTTGAAAGATTTAAAAGGTGAAGAAAATAGTCAAAACACTTCATATGCATGTGTGGAAATGGAGCATGACAACTTGGTGAGAATGGTTCTGGAAAAGGGTGGGGAGAGGGAGACTAGTAAAGGAATGGTTATGATCAAGAAGCACAGCACACAGAAATAGACTTGTTAAAATGAACTCCTTTTGTGCTACTACTTGATGTCAATAAAACTGAACTGAATTGTCTAAAAATAAGAAAACGGGTAAGGTAGATGAGGAGACCATTTCCTGGGAATATATTATTTCCCAGGTAGCACAGTTCCCCTCTTCTAAGATATGTAGTTAATTCAACCTCTGTATTCATCCAATCATTTTTCTTCGTTCTCTATAGAACACTTTAAGAATTATCCATTGTGGAAAGATCGGGAAAAAATTATATTAAGTGAAGTAAGCCAGGCCCAAAGAAACATAGGTCCCATGGTTTCCTTTATTTGCAATAGCTAGTATATGTCTGAGACAAACAGAAAAGGTCAGATAAGTTGATGTTAGGTGAAATGAACCCCAAAATAAGTATTCAAATGTTTTTTTTCTTTTTTATTGTGAAAATACCATACAGAGGGGTTACGATAACACGGACAAGATAAGAGTACATTTCTTATCAAGCATTGTTGCCTCCTCCTTTGTTTTCCCTTCCCATCCCTTTCCATCTCCTCCCTCCTCCTCCCCCCCTCCCCTGGGGCCAAAGTTGTTAAATTCATTTTTCAACATAATGACTTGTACATCTCATCGTTGCAATGGGTCCACCTGTATCCCTATTTAAACGATTTGTTTTTTCCCTTCCCCTCCACAAATTATACCAACATCAAATATAGTGAAAGCAATGTTTTTTTTTCTTTCATGTGATTGTTTCTAACATAGTTACAAGATGATTTCTTTGTTGCTTTGTATGTCCCTCCCCCACAGTATAACCCCTGCTTTCACTGTATTTGATATTGGTATAATTTGTGGAGGGGAAGGGCAAAAACAAACTGTTTAAATAGGGATACAGGTGGACCCATTGCAACGATGAGATGTACAAGTCATTATGCTGAAAAATGAACTTTACAACTTTGGCCGGGTTGGGGTGGGAAGGAACAGAGGGGGAGATGGGAAGGGATGGGAAGGGGAAACAAAGGAGGAGGCTACAATGCTTGATAAGAAATGTACTCATTATCTTGCCCATGTAATTGTAACCCCTCTGCACAGTATTTTCACAATTAAAAAAAAAAAAGAATTATCCATTGTTAGGATAGTAGAAAAACATAGTGGCCTTTTAAAATATTTCCACTCCATCTCTCTATTAGCTAGCATAGGATACAGCTAAGAAGCCAATGAATACAATAAACTAATATCCCTTTGGGCTCTGTTGTCTTGCTTAGAAAGAACATGTACTCAGGTGGAGAGAACGTTCAGATGAACGGGGACACGCCCCATGATGGAGGACACGGCGGGGGCGGGCACGGAGACTGTGAAGAACTCCAGCGAACTGGACGGTAACTGATGGGTCTTTTTACCAGATGGATCTTTTTCCTTAGACCTAAATTTCCCTTTCTCTTTCTGAATTCACCTTCAGCATTTTTTTTTCATTGTTTTGTTCATTTGTTCAGTCGATAAATACTTCTAGTTGAATCTATTAGTCACAGGCCCTGGGGATGCAGCAATGAATTAAACAAACTTCTTGTTCTTATGGGTCTTCTTTTGTAGAGACAAACATAAATAAATGAATACAGCAAGGATTTTATAGTACAAATAAAGAACAATAGGGATGGAGGAATGGTATAGCAATTTTAGGTGGGATGGTCAGAGAAGGCCTTATGCAAAATGGCAATGTTTGAGAAAGTGTGGGGCGGAAGAGGGAGGTACAATGCCCCAAGGGTTGGGGGCTGGCATTCAGACAGGGTGAGTGGCCACTAGAGTGACTGAGCGATGGCAGAAAGAGGGTTGATATGATGGTAGGTGAGTATAGATAGCAGATGTACTAGCCTTTCTTTCCCATGGCTTTCACAGTGCCATCTCCTCCCTGTATGCCTCCTCAATGTGAGCAACGTGTAATGGAAATTTGCAGTCCCAATTCTCTGTTGCATCTCCTTATCCTGGAGCTGGGACTGCAGCATACCCACATCTCCACAGCTAATTGCTTTTCATGATAATTCTCCCTTCTCTACTTCATTTGTGTTAAGAGTAACACTTAAGTAGGAGAATCATTTCATAAAGAGAAAGATTCTCATTAATCTATAATATTTTCATAATATTGCACTATTAAACAGTAATACTCTTATCTTTTTAAGAGACAGTAAGGGGAAGCACAGAAATAATGGGACAAAGGGTGAACTAATTCACCAGTGATATTCACTAGATACTGTGCTAACAATGAACTATATAACTTGGGGGATGGGAGGTTTGGGAGGGAAACATTGGGAGAAAATGAGGGAAGAGGAGACGGGAAGGTACTCATTACCAAACTTATGTAACTGTAACCCCTGTGTATATCACCTTTACACTAAAAATAAAATTGAAAAAGTGATCATTTTAAGACAATTACATTGTTTTAATGTGCAATCACATCTGAATGAATTGTTTTTCTTTCTTCTTCCTGTGGATCCCCTTGGGTTTCTCTCCTAAATTCATAGGAAATTACTTTCTTTTTTTTTTCCTCGAAGAAAACACACAACCTTCTTTCCACTCTTCTTTTCTGAATACAGTCATGCATTGCTCAATGGAGGGAATATGATCTGAAAACTGTTGTCTTTTAAGCGATTTCATCATTGTGCAAGCATATGGAGTATACTTAATTTCACCCTAGGTGACATATATCAGTCACTTGATGTGGCCTCTTGGTGCAACCAAGAGACGGAGGAGGTAAAGACTAGGCTGGTGCCAATGTAATACAGTGTATTTTTTTGCAGTTAACTTATTTTTATGAGTAGGAGTACTCTAAAATAGAAATAAAAAATATAGTGTAGCAAATACATATACAGTAACACAGTCATTGACTCTCAAGTGTTATTTATGTATGGTGAAGCATTATATGTCTCTACTTTTATGACTGACAGTTGCAGTAGGCTCGATTGCATCCACATTACCGCAGACACATTAGCTATGCCGGGCACAACACAACATCATCATGGGTAAGAATGTCACAAAGCCATAATATTTTTTCAGCTCTTGTTATAATCCTGCGAGCCCATCATCAGATAGGTGGTTCATCTTGATGAAAACATCCATATGCAGTGCTACTGTAGATTGTTTTCCAAACCATTTCCTTTTGGATTTTCCGTTTCCTTTTCTCCTCATATCATACAAATGAGTTCTGGGATTTCATTTTCTTGAATTTCATCAGACTTTAATTTCACTCCCGTGTGCCTGGTGTCGTACACACGCACACCCCTGTGAAAAACCAAGAAAGTGGAAGTGAGGTGCTGGAAACCACTGAGGTCCAGCCAGGCAGACTCTAGATAGACCAGAGTAGAAATCCAAATGATGGAACCAGAGAACTGTTAGGTCTTGGGAAGGGATCACTTTAGGCAAAGCCACTGCATGTACCAGGAAGGCAGAGGCATGGGGTTTGGTTGGGAAGTAGGGAAGTAGGCTGCTGTACAAGTCATTCCACTAAGGCAGTGATGCTGCAGTGGGCTTGGTTGCCCTTTGTCTGCCACACGCCTGCACGGGATCCTACTGTACTGCTTCAGGTCCCAACCCTGAAGTCCCCTTTTCAAGGAGCCTGTCCTGCCTAATTGTATCTATAATTTCTAAGACCTCTTTCTCAGTACTAGATAACCATCATCTCTACTTGTCTTTTTTTAATGGCCACTGGAGAGCAGTGGTTTTAATTCCAGACCCTGCAATGGTTCTGCTGTGTGCCTATCTTTCAGCCAGTTACTATTTGGAATGCTTCCACAGAAACATTCAACAACATCCACCTCATTGTCTTTTTTATAACTATATTTTACTCATATTATACTTACATTTCTTGTGCCAGTACTGGGACTTGAACTTAGGGGATGGAGGTAGCCTCCTTAGTTTGTTTGTTTTTTTTCTTACTCAAGGCTGACACTCTGCCAGTTGAGCCACAGCTTTACTTCTGACTTTTTGCTGGTTTATTATAGATGAGTCTCCCAGTCTTTCCTGCCCGGCTTTGAAACGTTATCCTTAGATCTTAGTCTCCTGAATAGAGAGGCTTACAAGCATGAACCACTGGGCCTAGCCTATTTATCTTATTTATAATTTGCTCTCACTCTGTTCCCTAAAAGTAAACTCCACAAGGGCAGAGCTGTGTTGTTGACCATTGTATTTCAAACACTCAGAATATCCATGGTGTAGGCATAAACAAAGGCACTCCATAAACATTTATTTGTAGAATGAGGGCACGCAGGAATGAGGGTGACAAGATTATCAAAGGCCTCCTATAATCTACATTTAGATGTTTTCCTTTAGAGAATGGAAAATTTTCCTTTATCTGCACAGTTCTCTCTCATCCAAAGAACAAATGGCTGATCTATCACAAGGGAATAATGTGGTACCTATTTTGGTAACTGAAAAAAAGAGCAACAAACATATTTCTCCACAGTTTTCTGGTCTCCTCTTAAGTAGGACTGTATGAAATAGTATCTTGACTCACGCATTTTCAGTACAGATCCTTTGTGGTTCAGTGAATTAGGCCCTGATGACTTTGGTCACTGATGGTTATATTTGGTCACATGTTTTACTTTCTCACTCTCAGGTTCTGTGGTGGATTAATTAAGGACATAAAGAGGAAAGCACCCTTTTTTGCCAGTGATTTTTATGATGCTTTAAACATTCAGGCACTTTCTGCGATTCTCTTCATCTATCTGGCAACTGTAACGAATGCCATCACGTTTGGAGGACTGCTCGGGGACGCCACTGACAACATGCAGGTGGGTGTGATTTTGGGGAGTCCACAGATAGTACAGCCCAGATTGTCTTCCTCACCCCTGCAGCTCGGTTAGAAGCAGATGGCCTTTCAGTTACTCAGCGTGATTTTCTTTCTTGTGCTAGCTCCTGCATTTTACTTTGCTTCTGGCTTGCTTCTGTATTTCCAGCATGTTCGTAATTACAAAAATAGCTTGATGAAATCTGGCTTGAGTCACAAGTGGGGAAAAGAAGGGGAGGAAATGAGGAGCTACAATTCTATTTGGGCAAAAGCATATCAGCTGCTTCGACTTTGTGCAGCGCATCAGGTTTAGATGTTCCTGGAATATATGGCCTGTATTCTATTACACTGGGCACGGCATACTCTTTTAAGAATGTGTAGTTATTTTTCCCCTTAATGCTTGCAAGAGCAAAGCAAGTCATCAAAGCATTGAGTGGCTGGGATTTGCAAGCCTATTGGTAGAGTTCAGCTTTCATGTGTAGCAGCCAAGAGCTGATTCTTCTCTACCTGGGTCTGTCTCATTAAGGTGTGCAGATTCTGGCATGAATAATTCTCTACCATTAATTGTAACCACAGCAAGTTGGTTACCTTGAAGGTGATATTCACCTTCCTTTTATACCAATAGTAGTCACAGGTTTAGGGAAAGAAAGCTGTTGTAAATTTCCCTAATCAGTCAGAATATAGATATAAGACTAATTGTATTTTGATCTAGTTATTAAAAAAAATAGGCGGGGCTGGGAAGGTGGGTCAGTGGTAGAGCGCTTGCCTTGCATGCATGAGGCCCTGGGTTCGATTCCTCAGTACCACATAAGCAAAAAGAAAAAAAAAATCCGGAAGTGGCGCTGTGGCTCAAAGTGGTAGAGAGCTAGCCTTGAGCTGAAGAGCTGAGGGACAGCGCCCAGGCCCAGAGTTCAGGCCCCATGACCGGACCCCCCCCCCAAAAAAAAAGGCATTTCCCTGTGTACTCAGCATAGAGGAGTGAATGGAGCTGATATTGTCATGAAAGAGCCCAATTCAAACCCTTTTCAAACTCTGTCCTTTCCTTTTATTACTTATCAGTGTTTGAAAATGTAACATTTCAAATGCTGCCGGCCTTATTTTTTCAATGCAGTTAATTGCAAAAAAAAAAATTACTTTTTGGGGCATTCAACTTAGAGCCTTGTGCTTGTTTCCGATCCACTGTTCTATTGCATAAGCCACAACCCCTGCCCTCTAAATTTCTTCTGTAATATTAATATAAAATGGAAACTACATCCCAAGTAAAAGAGGAAAAACTACTTTAAGCACTTGTATTTTAGTGTAAGTGTATTTATATGTTAGTCCTTATCTACTGCTGTATAACATATTACCTCAGAACTTAGAGGCTTCAAACAACCATTTGATATTTCATGGTTTTAGTGATGATGCTGTCAGCTGAGTGGTTCTCTCTTTGGTCCCTCATCTACTTTGCAGTCAGATGGCACTGACTTCTAGATCTGAGAAGCTCTTCAGCATATTAAACCAGCTTAATCCTGAGTCCTCAACGTGAAACTACTCATTGTTTTTTTTTTTCAGTTTAACAACAACACACATATACACACAATCGTTCAGATTGTTGGGATCCCTCAATCACTTCCAAAGGTTGAAATCACCCGGCCTCTCTCTTCACACATCTAGTGCCTGGGCTGGCATGTCTGGACAGGCTATGACATAGGGACTCATCATACGACTTTCCCACAAGGCAAGCTTAGGCTTCCTCACACTGGGCACTGTGATGATTCCCAAGAACTCAGGCTTCATGAGAAAGAGATAGGCATTCCTCATCTTTGCTTATTCTTGTGTGAACATGTACCCAACATGACTGGATAGTTCTCATTTTCAAAGAGAAACTGGAAACTTCAAATTCTTTTTTAAATCTTGTGACTTTCAAATGTTGGCTTCGGATGAACAATTTCTGAAGTCACATGGTGCTAACTAAAGACTATGTCACTCTGGGTTACCCATGAGAATAGTTGCATGGGCTATAGAACTGAAGCATGCTGGACACAGAAGTTAATTACTCAAAGAGAGCATCCCCTTCCAATCCTTCCCAACCTTATCTTCATTCATGTGACAGAATTTATAACAGTAATGTTAACCATAGAATTTCTATATAAACTCTGAATTATATCCAAGTTGGGTGCTTATTTCTCGTCTGGTTTGGTAACCTAAGATCACATAAGCAGATTGTTCAAAAAATAAATGGAAAAGTAAGCACCAGGGAAGCATGAGGTCATCATAAAGACAATTCAGGCAGCCACATACTAAGAAAATAAAATGAAGCGAGTACGTGGGCACCTGTGGCTTATACATGTAACCCTAGCTACTCAGGTAGTAGAGATCTGAGGATCACTGTCTGAGTCCAGGCTGGGCAGAATAGTCCATGAGATTCTTCTCTTCCATTAACCACCCAAAATGTAGGTAGACCTATCGCTTAAGCTAGCCTTGAGCACAAAAGCTTAGGCATAGTGCCCAGGACCTGAGTTCCAGCCCTGGGACCCGGACCCGCACAAACAACAACAAAAACAACAACAACAACAACAACAAAACAACCAAAACCTTTTTAAAGGATGTTCTTTGCACTTTAACAGGAATGTTGGGATGCTTTTTTGTGTTTTTCATGCCTTTTTGAATAGAATTTCATCTATGTGACATCATAAGACTTACTTACATTTAGAATGCAGTAGCTTGGATGAGTGGAGAAGAATGTCAGAGCCTGTTTTGATTCCTACTATGTGAATCAGTGTTTGAGTAAGTTCTTGGCAAAGTACTCTGTGGTGCAACCATGTAAGCAGCATGGGACTTCCCCTTGCTGCTGGGTTCTGAAATTCTCTGGGTTCTGAAAACTTAAGTAAACATAAATACATGATGTTAATAATAATTTTTGGATGTTACTATTGGGAGTTGAGATTTTCGAGACACAATTGGATTATTGTGTTCATTGATTTGTTGATAATTTTGGCAAATCTGTGAACATACTTTTTTAAAAGTCTGAGTGGAAATATTAAGGAGCCTATTTTGTCACTTCCGATGCCTTTTTCTTTTAAAAACCATATTGGTAAAGTCCTCCTCCTAGATTACAATTTTCTACTTGTAGAAGTCATAGTGAGTGACAGCTGAAATACTGACAAAGAGGGATAAAGAAAATGATTTTATATATATATATATATATATATATCATATGTAACATAATATACCATATAGTATTATATGTGTTATATATAATACTTTGTGTAATATATTGTATATATAACAAATAATTTTATAGATTTGGAGCTAAGGCCCATGTCGTTTCACAATTCTATGGCAAAGGTTAATTTATTCCCTTTATGAGTGTCTACTCTGTGTTGAACACTATTTTAAGTACTTAGGGGTTCAGATAGGTGAGTAAAATAGGTAAGAATCCCATACTGGTATTATTTACAGCCAAGGTTGTTGATGAAAGCAATCTTTCTCAGTGCTCCCATGAGATACCAATAGTGGTGTGTCGTAGGTTTATTTAAGGATTGAAGTCCTCTGGCTTCATTTGGCCTAACACTAGAGCAAGACTGACAGGGTAAGACTTGGCAGAGCCTGACATAATTTGCAGTAGTATCACATGCTTTCATAAACGAGGCAGTGGGTTATTCTCTCAAGCACAGGCAACTCCAGTGAGTCAATGGAGAACAGTGTCTTTGCTTTTAAAGGCAGACAGCTCAGAGATGGTTCTCACAGGGCCTGTATTGTCAGGCTGCAAATAGACATGGGTGCTGCGTAGAAACATGTTGTGAAAACACGGCTGAGTCACGGAGTGAGTGTTGTCTAAGCAAACTCTTCTGCCAGCTTCTGCTCAGGAGGTCTTGCCTGTTTGAAGTCAGGAATGCACAGTGAAGCATTTATTTTAGAGCTGATGATACCTATACAACTATATAAAGTATCTGCATTGTATCTATTTAGTATATATAAGTATCTTATTTTTGTTAGCATAAATTAATTGTACAAAGGTGTTTTGTTGTTTTATTTACCTACATACACATCATGTACTTTGATCAGATTAACCCTTCTTATAATAATCCTTCTTAAACTCTTCCTCTTTCTCCACCTTTAACAGTTTTTTGTGGGTTTTATTGTACTATTTACAAACATTTTCTCCTCCTCCTTTCCAAGTAGTTCCCCCATTACAGTCATATTGTTATTAAATAATATATATCTTTTATGTATATACTATGTATTTATTATTTCACATATTACATATATCAACAGAAGCAGTTGTTCTTGGGACTTGTATAGATCATCTCCCATGAGCCTGTGTTCAAAATGAGAACAGTTAAGGTTGAGATGGCTCAAGTATTACTAAACTATAATGGCAACATAAATGATGTCACAAGAAATCCCCCATCTTGGCATACATATTTTTCCCATCAGGCAGCTAGGAGAAGATTGTGGGACTTAACAAGTAGATATTCACAGGTATCCATAAATTCCTAATTAAGTAGACCTTACATTTATCTATGGTCCAACCCCAACTTGTATCAGTCTGCTTCTTGTCCTTAGAGTTTAGCAATGAAGACAAGACTAGAACATAAGCTTCCTGAAGTCTAGGAATAGTACAGTACTCAACTTTTTCAGCAAATTGTATCACAGTGGTACTCTGGTTTCGCTGATGTATTCTCAAGGGAATAAAAGATCTTTTTCCTTACTCTTCTAAAATATATCTCTTATATAACTGAACTATCTATAGTCATTCCTGCCATATCATCACTTTGTAGTCTCAGTTGCCAAGCAAGTGTACCATCCTATCCATCCAGATACTTCTAATTAAGTCATTAAAAACCAGTGTATAAATATTTTCTACAAGAATTTATTATGTTAAGGATTTTCTATTCAAAGAAATAGAAACTGAATAGACGCTTGATGTCAAACCTCAGTCAACAAATGTTTATGGATTACTTAATATCTGGACGGGATACTAGTATAAAGAATACCTTTTCATACTTTGTAGCCAAT